AGGCATGCCAGGGTTCAGTTCAGAAGCTATGTTCACGTCACAGCTGCCTCCGGCTACCACCATGTGGCTTGGAGGGGGACTGCAAGGCTCCCAAGACTTCTGCTCTGCCTCTGGGCCTCGCTGGGCTTCACTGTCAGCTGGAAGACCCCTGCACAGGATCTCCCCAGCCTCTACTGCTGGGCCCTTCTAAGCCTCTGCTGCTCGCTCCAGCCATGCTACCAGGGTCTGCAGGGCTCTCTTGTTGACACGCCACCCAGGAGAGGGAGAGGCAAGAAACCCCTGCACTGGGCACACTCAGGCCTCTTGCCTGCACAGGCATGTGTTACAACTCTTTTAGTTCCTGTGGCAAGCCTCCTGCGGAAGATACACAGTTCTCGCTCCTTGGGCTGAGCAGGATCATAGCTGCTGTCTCTCACCATCTTCAGCATTTGTTCTTTCTTCTGGGTCTAAGAGGTTCTCAGTGCAGGGACCCCAGGTCCTTGGTCCAAAGGACACGCTCTGCTCCAGATTCTTCTTTTTGATGGTAGTAAGGTCCCCCAGAATCTCTCTGGGATTAGCCTTTCAAAGCCTAGCAGGATGGTATAACTGACCAGTCCCTTTGGTAGGCCACAGTCACTTCATTTGCATAGTCCTGCAAGAGTTTTCCACACCTTATTTGCATGTTATTGTTGTTAGGTGCCATCGAGTTGGTTTCGACTAATAGAGGCCCTGTGTACAACAGAACGAAACACTGCTTGGTCCTGCGCCATCCTTATAATCATTTTTATGCTTGAGCCCATTGTTGCAGCCACTGTGTCAACCCATTTAATTGAGGGTCTTCCTCTTTTTTGCTGACGCTCTACTTTACCCAGCATGATGTCTTTCTCCTGGGACGGATCTCTCCTAATAACATGTTCAAAGTACATGAGACATAGTCTTGCCATCCTTGCTTCAAAGGAGCATTCTGGCTGTACTTCTTGAAGACAGATTTGTATGTTCTTTTGGCAGTCCATGATATATTCAATATTCATCACCAACACTACAATTCAAAGGCGTCAATTCTTCTTCAGTCTTCCTTATTCATCATCCAGGTTTCACATACATTTAAGGCAATTGAAAACACTATGGCTTGGGTCAGGCACACCTTAGTCTTCAAGGTGACATCTTTGCTTTCTAACACTTTAAAGAGGTCTTTGCAGCAGATTTGCCCAATGCAATGTGTCTTGATTTTTTGACTGCTGTTTCCATGGATGATGATTGTGGATCCAAGTAAAATGAAATCCTTGACAATTCCAATCTTTTCTCCTTTATCATGATGTTGCTTATTGGTCCCATTGTGAGGGGTTTTGTTTTCTTTATATTGAGGTGTAATCCATACTGAAGGCTGGGGTCTTTGATCTTTATCAGTAAGTGCTTCCAGTCCTCTTCACTTTCAGTAAGCAAGGTTGTGTCAGCTGCATAACACAGGTTGTTAATGAGTCTTCCTCCAATCCTGATGCCCCATTCTTCTTCGTATAGTCTAGCTTCTCAGATTATTTGCTCAGCATACAGATTAAATAAGTATGGTGAAAGGACGCAACCCTGAGGCACACCTTTCTTGACTTTAAACCACTCAGTATCCCCTTGTTCTGTTAGAACTACCGCCTCTTGATCTACGTACAGGTTCCTCGTGAACACGATTAAGTGTTCTGGAATTCTTATTCTTAGCAGTGTTATCCATAATTTGTTATGATCCACACAGTGTATTTCATCTGGTGAGATCCACGTGTATAGTCACTGTTTATGTTGCTGAAAAAAGGTATTTGCAACGAAGAAGTCATTGGTCTTGCAAAATTCTATCATGCAATGTCTGGCATCATTTCTATCACCAAGGCCATATTTTCCAACTACCAATCCTTCTTTGTTTCGAATTTTCGCGTTCCAATCACCAGTAATTATCAATGCATCCTGGCTGCATGTTTGATCAATTTCAGAATGCAGAAATTGGTAAAAATCTTCAATTTCTTCATCTTTGGCCTTAGTGGTTGGTGAGTAAATTTGAATAATAGTTATGTTAACTGATATTCATTGTAGGCATATGGATATTATTCCATCACTGACAGCACTGTACTTCAGGATAGATCTTGAAATGTTCTTTTTGGCGATGAATTCAATGCCATTCCTCTTCAAGTTGTCATTCCCAGCATAGTAGACCATATGATTGTCCCATTCAAAATGACCAATACCAGTACATTTTAGTTCACTAATGCCTAGAATATTGATGTTTATGCATTCCATTTCATTTTTGACAATTTCCAATTTTCCTAGATTCATACTTCATACATTCCACGTTCTGATTATTAATGGATGTTTGCAGTTGTTTCTTTTCATTTTGAGTCATGCCACATCAGCAAATGAAGGTCTTGAAAGCTTGACTCCATCCATGTCTTTAAGGTGGACTCTACTTTGAGAAGGCAGCTCTTCCCCAGTCGTCTTTTGAGTGTCTTCCAATCTGGGGGGCTCATCTTCCAGCACTATATCAGACAATTTTCCACTGCTATTCATAAAGTTTTCACTGCCTAATTCTTTTCAGAAGTAGACCACCAAGTCCTTCTTCCTAGTCTATCTTCGTCTGGAAGCTCAGCTGAAACCTGCCCTCTGTGGACGACCCTACTGGTATTTGAAGACCGGTGGCATAGCTTCTAGCATCACAGCAACACACAAGCTCCCACAGTATGACAAACTGACAGATGTGTGGGGGTTAATTTAATAATCCCAGCCAATCATTTTGTGGGAGTTACAAGACAATGGCTAGAAAGGCCATATAAGTGCAATTCATTGTACCACAGAGATATTAAAGTGATTTAGACAGTAAGGACACAAAAATGACTTAGGCATTATGGTGTTGGTGAAGAATATTGACTATACCATGGACTGCCAGCTCTGTCTGAGAAGAAGTACAGCCAGAATGCTCCTTAGAAGCGAGGATGGCGAGACTTCATCTCATGTACTTTGGACATGTTATCAGGAGGGACTAGTCCCTGGAGAAGGACAGTATGCTTGGTAGAGGGTCAGTGAAAAAGAGGAAAACCCTCAACGAGATGGATTGACACAGTGGCTGCAACAATGGGCTCAAATGTAGCAATGATTCTGAGGATGGCGCAGGACTGGGCAGTGTTTCATTCTGTTATATGCTATAGCGTACAATAGAATGAAACACTGTCAGTCCACCATAATTCAAATGCATCAATTCTTCTGTCGTTCAGCTTTTGCATGCATGTAAGGTGATTGAAAATAACCATAGCTTGGGTCAAGTGCACCTTAGTCCTCAAAGTGACATCTTTGCTTTTTAACACTTTAATGCCTCTACGGCACCTAGTAACAACATATCTTATGTAACTCCATGAATATATAAGAGGTCATTGTCTGTCAGTGGAGGCTTGTGTGCTGCTGTGATGCTGAACAGGTTTCAGCAGAGCTTACAGCCTAAGATGGAGTAGAAAGAAAGGTGCAGTGTTCTACTTCTGAAATCAGTCAGTGATAACCATATGGATCACAATGGTCAGATATGAAAACAATCATAGGATGGCATAGGACCAGGCAGCGTTTCCTTCCATTGTGCAAGGGGTTGCCATAAGTCGGGGGCCAACTCGAAAGCAGCTAACAACATATTTAAGAGGAAAATGCGCTGCCTTTGTTAGTTACCCATTGGGTGATCTTGAGAAAATTAAAACCTGACTCTTTTAAACTTATGCTTTAGCTTGACATTAGTTAGAAGTTAATGGCAGAATTGAAGGAATTTTTGAAGGACAAGACAGTCTTTACAATGTTCTTAAAGCTAAGGGGAAGGAACCAAAGAAGTTGAAGATATGTAGAAAAGAAGGGTATCTGATGAAGCAAAACCTAGGGGAAATAAAGTAGATGGAGTTACGTTAAGTAGAAAAGGAGAGATTGGTCCTGAATGGAATGGTCAAATCATACTCTGAAAGCAGAGATAAGACCATAAAGATGAAGTGTAGGTATATATTCAAAAAGAAAAAGAGTGTATCTTGTGATGGGGGTAGGAGCAGCATAGGGTCAGAAATCATAAGACAGTTCTTGCATCAATTTCCTCAATAAGATATGCCATGTTCTTTGAAGGACAGTAGAAAATGAATAGATTTGAGGAGTTTCGCAAAGTTGTGACACAGCTTCTCAGGGTAATAGAATGTAGATTTAAAAATCAAAGCATGTAAAAGGACTGATGAATGGTGTTCTGTATTTCAACTGACATTAAAGTTTATAAATTTGCATCAGCTCCATATTTTCAAAGATAGGCAGATTTTATCCAGGAGCTTTAGTATAGAAGGTTGATTGTAGGATTGACTCGTTGTTGGGGATTTGTTAGGGTTCATACATAGCCAAGTGAGCTATAGAGTTGAGTGTAGCAATACAAGTAGTTCAAGCTACAGATCCTGATGTCTGGGTGCAGTATTAGAGGAGAGCCTGGGCCAGTTTGATACAGATTGAAATGGAAAGGAAGAGTAGACTTTCCAGTGCTTAGTACCTAAGTAGATTTGAAAATGTAACATGAAAGAAAGTTGATTTGGTCTTGGAGAAGAGTAAAGCTGAGTTGGATTTAGAATGAAATCCCTATTTTCACTATTATTACACTCATCATTAGGACCCATAAAGGAATGACTACAATTTAAGGAACTGCAAATGAATGATCGTGCGTAACTGGTCAGTATTTTAATGGCTTTAATTAGAAACTTTCCTTACGTTACTTTGGAGCTAATTTTAAAATTCTTCTCATTCACAATCAGAAAAAGTAAATAATCTTATATTCTGTCATCACTTTAAAATGGAATCTATATCCCATACCCTTTTGTTGTTGTTGTTAGCTGCCCTGGAGTTGGCTCCCAGCTCACGGGGGCCTCATGTGCGACAGAATAGAACTGTGTTCTCTAATAGGGTTTTCTTGGCTGCAATCTTCACGGAAGCAGATCGCTAGGCCTTTCTTCCACGTCAGCCACTGGGTGGGTTCCAATAGCCAATCTGATTTAGCAGCCGGTCACAAACCGCTTGCACCGCCCAGGCTCCTTCATACCCTTTTAATACAGCATTTTTCCATCCAGAATGCGATGTTCCTATCCTAACCACGAGATGGCGATTGGCGCCCAAATCCCACTCCTGCTTTAATTCGCCAAGGCAGACGCCGCTCCCGGGAGTCCAGGAGCGCGCACGTCCTGGAGCCCGCGTCCACTGCAGGCGCTGGTGACGCGCACGTGGTCTGCCGCAGTTACACGGACGACCGGCTTCCCGGCCCTGAGGATCCGGACTCATGTGGAAGCTGCTCCCCGCCACGGGCCCAGCCCAAGGTAAGGGCGGAAGGGAGGTGTTAGGGCTCCTGGGAGCGGCTGCCGCGGCGACAGAATTTGCGGAGCGATGCTTCCGGTCCGCTCTCGTCCCTATTGCGGCCTTCCGGCGCCGCCTCCATTCCCGCCCCGGGAGATTGCGAAAGCGGGATGAGAGAGAATAATGCGTATTTGGGTGTCTAGGGGTCGCGTGGTCTTCCCGGGGGGCGCGGTGACTTCTGAGCAGGTTTCACCCCGGACGGTGGAGTAGGCCTTTCGGTGACTTGCGTCCTCCCACCCTTCTAAATTCTTGGTGGTTGAGACCAGCTCCACTGGGGATTCTAACCGGGGCCCTAGATGGACTGCAGAATTGAGCGTTGGCCGAGTACCCGCTGTAACATCCGGTCTTTTAAGCTTTTAGGGAATAAAAGGTTGCAATACGTTATCACACGTGGCAGAACACACGATGATGGCTCTGACTCGAGCACATTATTTATGTAAAGTACCACAGAGATGACTCGGGGAAATGGCGACCACAGAAAACGCATAATTTGTTTTATTTTTTAAATAATGTCATCGGACAACTGAGAAAGTTTTTTTTTTTTTTTTTTCCTTTTCTGCATGTACAGCAGTGGAAAATGGTTATCACATGTTAACTGGTTGTCTAGTATGTTTAAGTCCTTGTTAGTTGATAGAAAGCTGCACAGGTTTAGCATATGATTGGTCCTTGCCCTCAGGTAACTTATATTATGATTGGAAAAAATAAGATCTATGTAGATGCCAAATTGGCAGTATAAGATAATACGAAGAGGGATAAACTAATGGTAGGGAAAATAAATACTATAGTGGCTTAAAGTTCTCACTGTGCCTTGGAACACTTGCGAATGTGGGACATTAACTGTCTTGATGGGTACATAGGAATCAGTCACTCTGGAGGAACATTTAGCCTGTGGCTGGCTATCAGGGTTCTTGTAGGATGGTAGCAGAAATGACCAGCATTCTTAACTTTTGTGGGGTCGTGAACTCTTGAGAAACTTGATGGAAGGTATGGACCCCTCCTAGGAAAAATATAGATAAACCAATGCACAAAATTGTCGTTAGGTGCCGTCAAGTCAGTTCCGACTCACAGCGACCCTGTGTACAACAGAAGGAAACACTGCCCAGTCCTGTGCCATTCTCAGTTGTATGCTTGAGCCCATCGTTGTAGCCACTGTGTCAGTCCATCTCGTTAAGGGTCTTCCTCTTTTTCAGTGACCATGTACTTTACCAAGCATGGTGGTAAAGTACCTGACACATCTGTCAGTTTATCATACCGTGGTGGCTTGCGTGTTGCTGTAATGCTGGAAGCTATGCCAGCAGGGTCACCCATGGGGGACAGGTTTCAGTTGAGCTTCCAGACTAAGACTAGGCAGAAGGACCTAGCGGACTACTTCTGAAAAAAATTAGCCAGTGAAAACCTTATGAATAGCAGCGGAACACTGTCTGATATAGTGCTGGAAGATGAGGCCCCCCCAGGTTGGAGGGCACTCAAAAGGCAACTGGGGAAGAGCTGCCTGTTCAAAGTAGAGTCGACCTTAAAGATGTGGATGGAGTCAAGCTTTCGGCACCTTCATTTGCTGATGTGGCATGACTCAAAATGAAAAGAAACAGCTGCAAACATCCATTAATAATTAGAATGTGGAAAGTACAAAGTATGAATCTAGGAAAATTGGAAATTGTCAAAAATGAAATAGAATGCATAAACATTGATATCCTAGGCATTAGTGAGCTGAAATAGACTGGTATTGGCCATTTTGAGTCAGACAGTCATATGGTCTACTATGCTGGGAATGACAAATTGAAGAGGAATGGTGTGGCATTTGTCATAAAAAAGAACATTTCAAGATCTACCCTGAAGTACAGTGCTGTCAGTGATAGGATAATATCCATACAACTACAAGGAAGACCAGTTAATATGACTATTACTCAAATTTATGTACCAACCACGAAGGCCAAAGATGAAGAAATTAAAGATTTTTACCAACTTTTGCAGTCTGAAATTGATCAAACATGCAGTCAGTATGCATTAATAATTACTGGTGATTGGAATGCAAAAGTTGGAAATGAAGAAGGATCGGTAGTTGGAAAATATGGCCTTTGGTGATAGAAATGATGCCAGAGATCGCATGATAGAATTTTGCAAGACCAATGACTTCTTCGTTGCAAATACCTTTTTTCACCAACATAAACTGTGACTGTATACATGGACCTCGCCAGATGGAATACACAGGAATCAAATCGAATACAGCTGCGGAAAGAGATGATGGAAAAGCTCAGTATTATCAGTCAGAACAAGGCCAGGGGCTGACTGCGGAACAGAGCATCAAGTGCTCATATGCAAGTTTGAGTTGAAACTGAAGAAAATTAGAACAAGTCCACAAGAGGCAAAGTATGACCTTGAGTATATCCCACCTGAGCTTAGAGACCATCTCAAAAATAGATTTGACACGTTGAACACTAATGACCAAAGACCAGATGAGTTGTGGAATGACATCAAGGACATCATACACGAAGAAAGCAAGAGGTCATTAAAAAAAAAAAAAAAAA